CCCCCCCCCCCCCCCCCCCCCCCCCCCCCCCCCCCCCCCCCCCCCCCCCCCCCCCCCCCCCCCCCCCCCCCCCCCCCCCCCCCCCCCCCCCCCCCCCCCCCCCCCCCCCCCCCCCCCCCCCCCCCCCCCCCCCCCCCCCCCCCCCCCCCCCCCCCCCCCCCCCCCCCCCCCCCCCCCCCCCCCCCCCCCCCCCCCCCCCCCCCCCCCCCCCCCCCCCCCCCCCCCCCCCCCCCCCCCCCCCCCCCCCCCCCCCCCCCCCCCCCCCCCCCCCCCCCCCCCCCCCCCCCCCCCCCCCCCCCCCCCCCCCCCCCCCCCCCCCCCCCCCCCCCCCCCCCCCCCCCCCCCCCCCCCCCCCCCCCCCCCCCCCCCCCCCCCCCCCCCCCCCCCCCCCCCCCCCCCCCCCCCCCCCCCCCCCCCCCCCCCCCCCCCCCCCCCCCCCCCCCCCCCCCCCCCCCCCCCCCCCCCCCCCCCCCCCCCCCCCCCCCCCCCCCCCCCCCCCCCCCCCCCCCCCCCCCCCCCCCCCCCCCCCCCCCCCCCCCCCCCCCCCCCCCCCCCCCCCCCCCCCCCCCCCCCCCCCCCCCCCCCCCCCCCCCCCCCCCCCCCCCCCCCCCCCCCCCCCCCCCCCCCCCCCCCCCCCCCCCCCCCCCCCCCCCCCCCCCCCCCCCCCCCCCCCCCCCCCCCCCCCCCCCCCCCCCCCCCCCCCCCCCCCCCCCCCCCCCCCCCCCCCCCCCCCCCCCCCCCCCCCCCCCCCCCCCCCCCCCCCCCCCCCCCCCCCCCCCCCCCCCCCCCCCCCCCCCCCCCCCCCCCCCCCCCCCCCCCCCCCCCCCCCCCCCCCCCCCCCCCCCCCCCCCCCCCCCCCCCCCCCCCCCCCCCCCCCCCCCCCCCCCCCCCCCCCCCCCCCCCCCCCCCCCCCCCCCCCCCCCCCCCCCCCCCCCCCCCCCCCCCCCCCCCCCCCCCCCCCCCCCCCCCCCCCCCCCCCCCCCCCCCCCCCCCCCCCCCCCCCCCCCCCCCCCCCCCCCCCCCCCCCCCCCCCCCCCCCCCCCCCCCCCCCCCCCCCCCCCCCCCCCCCCCCCCCCCCCCCCCCCCCCCCCCCCCCCCCCCCCCCCCCCCCCCCCCCCCCCCCCCCCCCCCCCCCCCCCCCCCCCCCCCCCCCCCCCCCCCCCCCCCCCCCCCCCCCCCCCCCCCCCCCCCCCCCCCCCCCCCCCCCCCCCCCCCCCCCCCCCCCCCCCCCCCCCCCCCCCCCCCCCCCCCCCCCCCCCCCCCCCCCCCCCCCCCCCCCCCCCCCCCCCCCCCCCCCCCCCCCCCCCCCCCCCCCCCCCCCCCCCCCCCCCCCCCCCCCCCCCCCCCCCCCCCCCCCCCCCCCCCCCCCCCCCCCCCCCCCCCCCCCCCCCCCCCCCCCCCCCCCCCCCCCCCCCCCCCCCCCCCCCCCCCCCCCCCCCCCCCCCCCCCCCCCCCCCCCCCCCCCCCCCCCCCCCCCCCCCCCCCCCCCCCCCCCCCCCCCCCCCCCCCCCCCCCCCCCCCCCCCCCCCCCCCCCCCCCCCCCCCCCCCCCCCCCCCCCCCCCCCCCCCCCCCCCCCCCCCCCCCCCCCCCCCCCCCCCCCCCCCCCCCCCCCCCCCCCCCCCCACCCCCCCCCCCCCCCCCCCCCCCCCCCCCCCCCCCCCCCCCCCCCCCCCCCCCCCCCCCCCCCCCCCCCCCCCCCCCCCCCCCCCCCCCCCCCCCCCCCCCCCCCCCCCCCCCCCCCCCCCCCCCCCCCCCCCCCCCCCCCCCCCCCCCCCCCCCCCCCCCCCCCCCCCCCCCCCCCCCCCCCCCCCCCCCCCCCCCCCCCCCCCCCCCCCCCCCCCCCCCCCCCCCCCCCCCCCCCCCCCCCCCCCCCCCCCCCCCCCCCCCCCCCCCCCCCCCCCCCCCCCCCCCCCCCCCCCCCCCCCCCCCCCCCCCCCCCCCCCCCCCCCCCCCCCCCCCCCCCCCCCCCCCCCCCCCCCCCCCCCCCCCCCCCCCCCCCCCCCCCCCCCCCCCCCCCCCCCCCCCCCCCCCCCCCCCCCCCCCCCCCCCCCCCCCCCCCCCCCCCCCCCCCCCCCCCCCCCCCCCCCCCCCCCCCCCCCCCCCCCCCCCCCCCCCCCCCCCCCCCCCCCCCCCCCCCCCCCCCCCCCCCCCCCCCCCCCCCCCCCCCCCCCCCCCCCCCCCCCCCCCCCCCCCCCCCCCCCCCCCCCCCCCCCCCCCCCCCCCCCCCCCCTTTACAGCTAATGTCTCTGCAGACTGAGTTGCGTTGTGATGACGGTATCACCGGGGTGAGCTCCGGGGATCACTGCACAAATTTCTCAGAGCTATTTCGCCCCCTTTTTCAGTATTCGCGGAGAGTTCTTGGTCAAATTTTTCGTTTCTCTGCTGTAATTACACCTCATTGGTCGGATGGTTCCTGAACGATATGCTTGTGAATCAAGCGGAGGCACATTGGCAACCAGAACCGGTTGGCGTCATTACTATGTTTTAAATACTCGGACTTGGGGCTCGTAATGTCCCACACATGGAAGCTGACAGTTGTGGGTCCTAATTCTTGCTGTTCATGCTCACTTTGCAGTATTTTATGTGAGCTATGTGATTTTATAAAGTTATCTAATTTCCTGATTCTTCTTTCATGATCCTGCCGTAGTCAATTAGGCCTTGCGAATATCTAGCGCTGTATGGTGTGTGACGACAAATGACGCATTCCCTATTGCGGAAACACCACCACGTTCCTCGGCTTCATTGTTTGATCCTTGGATTGAGTTGGCTGCTACATGTACGAGTTGCGGTGCGAAATTGCAGACTGGATCCGAATCTAAAGTAATAATAATTTGGCGTCTGTACGCCGTAACGGAGTTTCGCTGCCGTGCGACCACCACCAGCTGCATGCGAGCTGAGTATACCGCGAGGAAGCCCACCCCTACGCGGATTCGAACCCGCGCCGCAAGATTACGAGACAAGCTCGTTACCTCTAGGCTACGGGCCGACGGATCCGAATATACTCTAAGGCAGACTCAGACCTTTTAGCTTGCAGAGACCGGATCTGACTTAGGTAAATTCAGTGTTATGCTCAGTGATCGATTTTTACCTTTGTTGATTTCTTTAAGTGGAGGCTAAAGGTGTCTTCTGCCTGTCAGCTGACGCGTTGGCGTCTAGACTACGTGGTATGGCAAGCAATACTCGCTCCATAGGTTAGCAGATAATTTTGTCCTCTAACAACCTACGTGCTGGGATTCTCGTTGCTAACACAAATCGTAACATTAGAAATCCGTGAGAATATTTGTAGTTCGGGATGCGGATGAGGGTATGCGGGTGTTCTCCGAGCTGGTTGATTTCGTTGCAGACGTTTCATCGTCAGACTAGACGACATCAGTAGTGCGATTTATGTGAGCCACTTGCAGATCCAAGTGATTATTGATCACTTGATTCGAACGTCAGGAGTCTGGTGGTCCACGTGAGCTGACCGTGTAGTCAACTCTTGCGTACTATTAGCTAGAGTCCGCCTCAATGATGTTCCTTTGTCGCTTTAATCTGGGGCGGAGTATTGTTTTAACCCTCAGTGCTTCATAGGCAGTATCAAGATCTAAATGTCGGTTGATTGAGTTCTTTCCCGAGTACCAAGCCTCGATGAACTCGCGCGCGTTTCGAGATTTTGCCCTGCCTATGATCCTGACATTCTCCAAATCAAAGTGATGATTCTCGGCGTCCATATGTACCGACATCAGGGAGTTCTGGTCATGTTGGCGGATGGCTAGGCTATGCTCATGTAGCCTAGTGCCGAGCTTTCTTCCTGTCTGGCCCACATAGTATTTGTTGCAATTTTTGCAGTGGATTTTGTAAATCACACCACTTGTTTCTTCTTTGCCAAGCCGGTCCTTAACATTGAAGAGTTTGTCTCGGATGGTTTCCGTCGGCTTGTGAGCAACTCTGATTCCGAAAGGTAGTAACAGTCTCGCCGCCATCTCAGAGACACCATTTATGTATGGTAGAATGATTGTCTTTTTATCCGTTTCTGATGTTTGTTCATGCGTCGGTCGCTTTATTGATGTTAAACAACGTAAAATGAAGTTCCTAGGATACCCATTCCGTGTAAACATTTCGAATAGATGATCTTCCTCCGCTTTCCTCAGCTGCGGGGTGCTGCAATGGGTCTGCGCTCTTTTAAATAGAGTTATTACGCAGCTGCGCTTGTAGACTGTTGGATGATTGCTGCGATAATTCAGGATTTGGTCTGTATGCGTCGCTTTCCGATAAACTGTTGTCTCCAGTTGCCCATCAGCATGTCTTTTTACTAACACATCCAAGAATGGTAGCTGACCATTATTCTCCTCTTCTTTAGTGAAATTGATACCAGTAAACGTGTTGTTTATGAACTGATGTGTTTCTTCCAGTTTCGAGCGCTTTAGGATGACAAAAGTATCGTCCACGTAGCGTAGCGTAACAATCTGCCCAAAATTGAGTATTAAGTTCTTAATCGGCGAGTTCTTCTTCATAGTGCTTTCGCTGCCAAGCATAGCCACCGCCGTCTGAGAAAATGATGGACGGCTATATTGCCAAAATGGGACTCACCAACAGCGCGGAATCCTACGTGATTATTTGACCGGCTGTCACAATGAGTGGCCCGTGGTCGGGTTGTAAACCGCGACTGCTTCGAAACCCAGTGGTCCGAATCTGCGTTGATGGAAGCGACTTCGCTGTATCCTTAACCCGCCAGCGCGAATGGCAGAGTAGCGTCGGTACGTAGTACGGCCTTACAATAATAGTGCATCCCATCCCTTACGATCACCCATTTTACTACCGTGCGGGAAAAGATTTACACTTGTGGAGGTGTGCCTTTCCCATCAATCCAATAGTTTTCTGAGAGAAGCTGCTAGAGCGACCATTGATTTTACTTGCGTTATAGGCGGATTTGTAGGGACTCATTTGTTAATCGGCAAAGGTTTCCTTGGAATTATGAGACTTACTTTCTGCATGATATATTTCAGCGGCTGGATTTCCTCTCGTTGAACTTGGTTTGCGCCCCATCAATTTCGATTGGATGGTTCAGTCGCCAAGACTCCTAGCTCGGGTTTTGCTTCTGGTGGACCCCTCACATCTTCTTTGGCTGCACTTACCACAGCAGCCCATTCAGCGAGAGGATGGAGATGACTCCCTGGCAGTTGCGCTACGACACCTGAAGAGATTTGAGCACCTGACATCATTGGGTATGGGTGAACAAGTAAGACATGAATTAGAACTCAACGCAGTCAAAGAAGTCCTCACTCATCTACCAAAGCTCAGAAGCATTGTTTTCACCTACGTGCCGTAAGTGTCACAACTGGTATTGTTTATTTTTTGTCTTACATCAACTGATTGCGTCACGGATACTTCATGTGTCGAAGTGCTTCCGCAGTGTTCACACTCAGAATTGAAATAACCAGGTAGTTTTGAAGTGCTCGTTGTGTGAATGGATTGCGACACGCAATCTGTACGTATACCGCCATTCACCTTGAAGTGCACCTTGGTCAATGAGACCACGGGGACCGGAGCCCAACCAGAAGGAAACTGGGTGCTGTCCGCCCAAAACACTGCACAAAATGACGCGTTTCGATCTCATTCAATCACATCAAGTTGACATAGTGATCTTCTAACCCGCGACCATTGAAATATTATTTGAAACCTCCACTCCTTTGGCTAATAGATTACGACTAGGCAACGTGAAATCATCCGTAGAGTAGGGTACAGCAATGACGACATTTGGCAACCCTGCTACTGCATGGTTTCGATGCTTCAACAAGCGTTTTGTCGAACGAGTGTTGGACATTCCGAGGTAGATATTACGGTCATTGTCATAGGCTCGTTGCATTCTGTTACAGTTTCCTTTCGCAACAATACTCGTAGCAAAAGGCGGTTTATCAAGTTGGTTGCTACTCGTGTTTAGTTAGCTTAAGGGAATATGGCTGCGAAGAAAGTGATCTGGGATCGGATATCATTGGCGTCCCCATTCTCTTCCAGCGGACTCTGTGGAGCCACAGACACAGAGACATCACGGCTCCAGATAGTTCTCTGCGCATTAGCTGAAGTTCAGTTTGTTTTTACAGCGTGACCAGTGGCCTTCGGTGCTTTGTGATCTGTTTTCTACTCATCGACTTTTCTTGGAATGGATCCCATGATTGCTGAGTGCCATATTTGGTATGAACCGTTTGAAGCTGTGCTCTATGTGTAGCCAAGCTCTCGTCCAATGGTTGCTTACTTCATACTTAGGCTTACTAGGAAGCAACTGGTCTTCTGAAAATCTGCCAAGTCCCTTCCATTTCGAATGGATTAGAATAAACCAGTCTGTAGTACAACGGCTGTACAGCTTTTGAGGACTCTTAACTTTAGAGTGTGATAGAGGAAAGCTATGTTATTTCTTAGTTGTTGCAGCCATAGGGTGCCACATTGCATGTGGTGATGGTGGTTGTTTACTAGAGCACATACTATCAGAAGATCAAGGTTGTGAGAGAATGTAGCTGTTCTCCAAAGTTAGTTACCCCATGCGCGTTACGGCATAGCGGATACGCTGATCAAAACAGGTGGCTTACACTGCAGTGGAACTACGTTTGTCCTGTCAAACAGGCCCCTACTTTGGAAATTATAGTGTTGTTCATCCCAACACTGGCACCCCAAGACCGCGGTTTCGTCCTGGTTGGGACTCATCAGTTGGAGATAGCCTGAGTTGGGCTGGAACTCAGAGCCTAGTGGCTCATGGTTGACGCCATAAGCACTATGCCACTGAGATCCGCGAGCAACGCTTTGTCCAGCGGAAACGAATGCAAAGTTGGGTTTGGAGAATCCGCTGGTGGTTGGGTTGCTACAAGCAACCTCTATTGAGACCTCAGTTCACTTGAGGTGGACCTCGGTCATTCCGATCACAAAGACCTTAAGTAAAATGGAAATTATAGTGTTGCTCATCCCAACACTGGCACCCCAAGACCGTGGTTTCGTCCTGGTTGGGACTCATCAGTTGGAGATAGCCTGAGTTGGGCTAGAACACAGAGCCTAGTGGCTCATGGTTGACACCATAAGCCCCTACTTTGTTTACAGCGAAGACACGTACTATGGATATGCGCAGGTACCATTGATTACATAAACCTATCTGCAGCTGCGGGCACAAGCTAGGTTGCACATTCCGAACGCAATTTGGAATTCAGGATCCTCACATAGGCTGTGCAGACAAATGGGACCGACGGCACTTGTACCATGAAGCAGGACTAATTCAGCAATTAGATGATTTTCGTTGTGTACCTATCACCAGGATAATATCGGCGTAATTCCCGCAGTCCTTATATTGAGCCATAAGTTGAAGTCTCGAGCTACTTGAGATCACCATGTTTGATCGCGAGCTGTAGCTGCTATGCATGCGAAGGCATCTGATTCTGACTAAGAGCCCACTGAGGTAGCGCGAAGCGCAGCCATCAACCTCACATGACCTTCAAGTTCAAGTTTCAGTGGGACTGAAACAATAGGATTATCCCGTGAATGTTCCCTCTTCAGCGGGTCGTTGAACCAGGAGTTGATAGACTTTGAAATACAGATGGACCTAAAACAAAGACCGCATCACTCCCTGCCCAATCAATTAATTCCTACGTAGCAGTTCCTGCTGGGCCGGTTACCTGAAGTAAGGAACAGCAAAGTAAACTCCGAAAGCAAGAAGAAAAAGTAGAAAGTATTAAGCAAGTATAATAACAAGATGGTTGAGTCATTGAAAAGGGAACTGAAAGGTGGTGAGTCAGTTAAGAAAAAGGAAAGGTTTGGTGTTGCCGCCCAAGCGCATCGAGCTGGCACGCAAAACCCTTAACAGTAGGTTCCCTAACCATATGATCTGGAAGCGAATTCCAGTGATGTATAACTCGATGCGACAGAGGGGTTTCCGTCCTAATCATATCAGACCGTGGTTTATGCAGTTTCAGTGTGTGACTGCAGAGATTAGGTAAGTTAGCGGAACGAACTAGCCCTGACAAGCGCGCCGATCTCACCCGTCAAAATAGGATAAGTGAGAATCAGGTCCCCTCGTATCCTTCGGTAGTGCATGGAGTACATACCCAAACTGAGCAAGCGTTCAGGATATGTCTGTCCCCGTAGACACTGCACTAACCGAGTGCCCACTTGTAACACCCTCTCCAAGTCCATTTTGTCTCGGATAAGACATGGTTGACAAGCCTGGATACAATATTCTAGGTGGGATCGGACGAATGCCGAGAATAGCTTCACAAACAAATTGGCCGTTAGGATTCCGAAAGAGCGGCGGATAAACCCGTCATACGAAACCCTCGACAAGCAGCCTTCTTCCAATTGTCGCCAGAATGAAGTGCTGATGAGTGTACGACCCCTAAATCAACCTGCTGTGTGACAACAAGGATTTCAGAACCGCTGACAACATAGCTCGTAGGAGGACTAGCAACTCCACTTCGGAGAACAGAACTTCGCCTTATTTATGGGCATCAACCATAAGGCAGACCATTCCCAGAGCCTATGCAAGACATGCTGAATTGCCTCAGTACTCCACGGGATATCCACAATATTCCACAGCATAAGGTCGTCAGTAAACATTAGTGATGACTGCTAAAAACCCCTGCAAGTTATTTAGATAGATCGAGTAGAACAATGACCACAACACCGAGGCCTGCGGGACGTCACTAAGGACAGGTTGCCTGAGCACAAAGCTACTCCACACCTGCACGCACTGTTCCCTCCCCTCAAAGAAAGCGGACACCCGTTTAAGGGCTTGAACAGATATCTCGTAAGATCTCAAGTTCAGTGAGAGTCTAAGATGAGGAACAGTGTCAAAAGCTTTCGAAAAGTCCCCGAATAGTACGTCTACAGCGTGGTCACTGTCTACTGCTTCGGCACACGTTTCACGAGTTACAAGTAGCTTGGTCTGACAAGAAAAGCTTACGGAATCCATGCTGCGCAACACTGGGAAGTTTGAATCTATTCACGTGATTCTGCAGTGAATCCCATAACAGTTTTTCAAACAACTTGACTACTTGACTTGTCAAAGTGACAGGCCGGTGGTTCACAGGCAGAGCGCTGTCACCACCCATAAAAATCGGACAGATTATTGCCTCCTTCCATTCCGAAGGTAGGAAGCAGCTGTCAAGCGATATTGAAAACACACATGTGAGAGGACCCCTCAGCTCAGTGGCTAATTCGTGCAACAGCTTCAGATGAATTGAATCAGGACCGGAACCTTTAGAGGGATTAACGCCTCACAGTAGTTCGAAGACCTGAGTCTCCGTTATGTTAATCTCAGCTAAGCAAGTATCCTCTGGAAATCTTGAAACCAACTCAACCTGTGGTAAAGAGGTCTCCAGAGCAAAGACCGCAGTATACTGATCACTAAGTATACAGGCCTTGTCATAGTCAGTTTGCGCACGGGTCCCGTCTGCTCGCAATAATGCTGGTATAGACCGTTTTGCCCGCTGCGTCTTTTACCGTAAGCAAAATCTTCTTTGGATTAGCTGCGCCAGCGTCCGTTAAACCCTGCTCGTATTGCAGACGATCAGTCCTCACATTTATTTCTAATCTCTCGATAACTGTCGTAGGTACTGCTAATTGGAGCTGCTTGGTGTGTTCGCCAGCATCTGGACCGTTTCTTGAGTAGGTACTTGCCTGCGGTATCCATCCATGGAGGTTGTGCCCGTAACCCTCTTTTTCTCATGTGTGGAATATAGGGAGTGGAGACGTCTGTAAGATATGCCTTACATTTATCCCAGGCTAACTGAACAGAGTCGGCCATCGACATCTTACAGTTCAGAATTGAAGTCCTAGCTGGCGTTGCACTAAAGTCCGCCCGCGACATATTCGGAAGTAATTCGACGGCCGTCTGTTGATGCCTTGAAAGAGCACGCCGAAAGGATATGCATGCGCGATCGCTGGACCTTGGAGGTGTACCGTACGAAACGTCAGTCACGAAGTCGAGGGACTTAGCGAAAACCAGGTCTACATTAGATGGTATTTGGTTTTTTCAAGTTTAGGAAGATAAACAAAACACGAATCTTTGAGCAAAAAAATTGAAGGAAGTATTGGTACTCCGCAAATTCACCTGACCTCAGTCACATGATCAGATGAAGGCCATCATGATCACAAGTTAAATTTTCTGATCAATTGTTTCTTTGTTACACTAACGATTGCAACAGACGTTAACATAATGTATATTACTGTATGAGCCTGATGAAGAAGTAATCGAAAACAATTGTTTGCTCAAAGCTTCGTGTTATGTTTATCTTGCGAAACTTGACGTAATAAATGGGCATTCTACTTGAGTATTTGGTTTTGCGTATACCTAATGGGGAAGTCCACAAACAGGTGCAAACACACTTGGAGAGTCAGCTCAAGGAAGTCTGCACCAAATTGCAAGGAAGTCGGCTCAGTAGCCTTCCGGGAGGTTGAAATCCACTAGAACTAAAACACTTATTTACAGACTGAGTACGAATGGTCACTTATCACCCGGGAGGAAATTTCAGCACTTCTGTAAATCACTACGATTGTAAACTTGATAGAGAAATGCACGTAACAGCCGATAGAGCTTCAACAGTCTGAGCCGACGACTTGAATGTGCAGGTCCTCAACACATGTAATTTACAGCTCACATAAAGCACCACGTCTCGTCTTGACGACCAACGGAGCGATCAGTTCTAAGCAATACCGTATAAAAAACGCACGCACACCACGCTCAGCGCACTCTCACCGAGGCTTCTCTACGCTACTGCACGACACTCAACTACGCACTGATGATGCCTTCTCGACGAAACGTTTGCAACAAAATTGCCAAGCTCAGCGAAGAGTTCAACCGTCACGTTGCTAAGTGCTACCTCAAGGAAGTCGGCACGACCATTCCTGGGTCGTACGCCACCAGTACGGGTTCTGATGTGCGGAAAATAACTTCCGGCTGACCACCAGAAAACCCACCAGACAGAAGCCTTGCTCACCAGCCGCCCGTCTAGTTTTGTGGTCTTTGATGGCTTCTTTCAGCTTTAATCTATCAGCCAGTGGAAGATCTGACTGAACGCTGACACCATTACGCTTAAGTTTGAATGCAAACCGCATTAATCATTTGCCTTCATCCGGGATGGAAATGACCACGCGAAGTAGTCGGGATCGCGGATTTGATGTACCGATAAGAACCTTCCCCCAATGTGGTCAGATTTTTTGACATTGACAACAGGGAAGGCAGGTGGAAGCTGCTTGGTGACGTACAGTTTGAGCCACTTGATGTCATCCAAAACGCGTTCCATTGGGAGAGCATCCGCAGATTCAGTAACGTTACGGAATATAATGCTACTATCCCTGAAAGAGTCAACCACGGGGAGCGTGTACCCCACGTGCCTTGGATTCGATACTCACGCCAGGTGTTTTCACCACTGGCGTTGGGACTGTCCCAGTCTGCGCGAAAGACGTTAAAGCAACGGTAGTATAGCTTTACCGCTCTATTGCTGGCGTCAAATTATTTCTTGGATCTTCAAACCCCTGCGAATGTTTACTGGCAGATTTAGTCCGCTTCTTCTCTTGCCTCATGAGAGCAGAGGCTGATGACTTTGCATCGAATTGAGCAGTTACCAACAATTCGTCAGAACGGGCTGCTTCAATGGCAGCCGAAACGTTCACAGCTTCTAGGTGTTCCCCCTGTGCACAAGCATCAGATTACTTTACGACTGCCGAAGACTGCATCTTTCTCGATATCGCGGTAACTAATTCTTTGGATTTGGCAGTGAGCTTATGGTATTTCCGGGCCCTATATTTCTTCACTCCGACAGGCTCATGAGGAGAGTCAGCAATGCTACTAGGAGCCTCCGGTGGGACGTGCAACTGCTTGACCGAGTGACAGACTTAAGCGGATGGATAATCAGCAACGTTACAGTCTAATGCAGTGTCCTCAATCGCAATATTCAGGGATTTCAAAATCAAATACATTTTGACATTGAGTGAGGCAATAGAGGTGAGCTAGGCTATCGCTTTCTCAACACCTGCCAACCTTGACGCCAGTGCTGAAAGTTTAGCACCGGTGATAGTCAGACGCGTCGAGCTCTTAGCGCAGCATTCAGCACAGCGGAAAAGGGAATGCACATTGGATGATAGCATTTTGTACTGGTCTACTTGTAGGCCGGTGCAACTTTCGTGATACAAGCGGCAGCAAACATCACACTGCATACCGCCAGATTACTCTGTTACTGGCTCTGAACAGGTAGACTGTCCGCAAGCCGCACTAGGTTCATCAAACAGACTCCGAGGTTCCATCCTTCTCGGTGTTTAGCGAGACAGCGATGGTCATGGGGAGAACAGGGCAGAATTATGACACGGATACAACAGTAAAACGACCGCAGTAAACAAAGGCAAAAACAGGATGCAATATGGGATTAAAAGTAGGAACAACGGGAAAAAATTTGACAGTGGTCAAATTTCGTTTCGTTTATTCAAATGTTGTTTTCCACTATATATCAGTTGTAAAGCTTGATCAGTATAGCAGGCCAAAAATATCGAGTTACCGCGTAGTACTCGCAGGACCTTGTTTTATTTAAATCTCATTGTTAACGTACCGGTTGTTGAAGTGAATGTGCGAGTTGGTGGTATCGCACCATAACTTTCTTCTTCGAAATTTCTTACTTGGAGTTATAAGGAAATTCATTTGCTTCTGCATATGGCTTACTCTTAACCACACTATCAAATTGGAGTTTGTTCCATTGTTTTCGCGCATATGTCCTTTCCCCTTGTTATCAACCTGGAGTTGTGATTGCTTGGTTGGACTAAGCTAGTATTTCTTCAACAAAAGATGTATGCGGTCTGTTGCATCTAAATGCAAACTTCTAGCCGTCCTTGAGAGTACGGAGATAGGCCAGAATCTTTTTCATGCCGCGTGTCCTGGATTTTTGTGGCATGTTTATCCGTGAACTGTCCAAAGACCACAGTACTGTTGCCGTATGTTCCTGTACACCATCTATCGTGCGTCCTAATCTGTACACCAATGGACCCTTTGACTACTCTGTAGTAAATGTTATGCACCTTGACCCCACTGTCTACAGCGACGATATTGAAGACAATCTCGTCACTCTTTTTTCAGCGAGGAATTCGAGGAGCCACTTTTTTCCGCCTGTCCGCCGCAATGCTCTATGCAGGTGCTGTATCCTATGTGACCTATGCATTTTTATAAAGTTATTTTATTTCCTGCTTCTTCGTTACCATTCTCGAATGAATGTATTTGGGGTGCTGTGGACTGTGTAGAAATGTGTTGTTGCCCCGGGAATGTTGACAATCGGAGCAGGGTAATCGGGTGAGGGTAGTCAATATGGACAGTATTTTGATAATGTCACCAAGCAAAATCGAAGCCGTGACGGCTTGCGGCGATTGTCTTCGTCACTAACCTACCCAGGAAGATCTTTGACGGAATCGACTTTTTCGGAAAGCGACCCGATAACGGATGCAGAGGTCCGATGACCAAAAAAGCAACCAACGGTTTAGCTAAATCGCACTTAGCTGCGTTAATGGTAATTCCACGGTCGCATAGAAGACGAAACAACAGTTGCAGATGCTGCAGATGTTTTATTTTGAAGACGCTTGCTACCAGTGTCGTCCAGATAAGAATATACGAAACCTAAGCCGATTGTAACGTCATGTATGAACCTTTGGAAAGTCTATGCAATATTTCTCAGGCCAAACGGCATCCACAGAAACTCGAATAGACCAAAAGGTCGAATGACGGCAGTCTTGGGGATATCGCATTCTTCGACGGGGATCTGATGATATGCTCTCTTTAATTCGATTTTACTAAACACGGACTTACCGCTTAAGATGCTAGTAAAATCATGAATGTGCGGAAAAGCGTACTTCTCCTGACAGGTACACTTGTTCAGTGCCCGATAATCGCCACACGGTCACCCGTCGCCAGTCCTTTTCCGCACCAATTGAAGACGTGAAGCCCACTTACTTTCGGATTGGCGGATAATACCAAGTTCCAGCATATGCGCAAATTCCGCTTTGGACACCTTCAATTTATCAGGGGCGAGAAGTCATGGTCGAGCGGAGACTGCTGGACCACGGGTTCGCATTTTGTGCGTTACCTCAGTTGCTAAGTGAAGAATGGCGTCAGAGGGTCGAGGCAGCTGTAGGAACTGCGTGGGCCGTTCTAGCAAGTCTTTGTCAGCTTGTGACTGGGGATAAACGGGAGTGACAGTTTCGGATGACATTTCGATTCCGCAAATGGAAAGACGTGCTTATTTGTCCATTAGCTTTCGCTAACCAGGATCGATCATTAGATGAAAATGATGCAGGAAATCGATTCCGAAGATGGCAAACGGTATAGCAGGTACTGTTGAAGCCCAACCGAATTTACGTCTAAGACCAAGATCCATAATGAGGGAACGCTGGCCAAAAATCGCTATGAGTGTTCCGTTGGCGGTACGTACTTTTGTTGCCGGTCGCTTAATCGATTCCTTTGGGTCTGGTAAGATCACGCTGACTTGCGCCCCAGTGTCCACTAAGAACATTATCCCTGAGATTCTATCGGCTAGTTGAATCGACGACTTGTGATATTTTGAGTGTCGGTGTCAGTTGCCAGTATTTGTTGCTCAGTTTGTTCTAAGCCACCGTTGGTGAACGTCGGTTGGCCGTTGTCTTTTGTCTTTATCAGACTGTGGATCTGCTGTCCTCTGTCAAGGCTTTGTTCAGCGTGTTTCTTCTCGGTCGGTGTAAAAGCGCAAGGTTTAATACACTTTTTAGCAACACCATCGAAACATGCATGGTAACGACATATAGAGCGTCAAGTGGTACTATGAACGCGACTACGCGAACGGTGTGTGTCCATACGCCGCTGCTTTAGGCTCAAACATTGGACTTCTCGTTTGAGTAAGGCTATTTCATCCATAAGGGCTTGCGCTGAAGGCAGGTTGTTTGCGTTGTCGTGTAATGGAGCGACGGTCTCTATCCGGTGAGGTGCGTCAACTGGCCTGGCGATAATAGGTGATTCGCAAAGTGGCTCAGTTTAATGCTCCCGTATGCTGTCTGCAATGTGGGTGATTTCTGACAACGGTTTAGACTTGGCGAAGCATAAGACAGCCTGCACATGCTCAGGTAAACGTTGCAATCATAGTTCCCGAAGCAACAATTCCACAGTAAGGCTGGACGGTTTCTTACTTCCTAACTGCAAACAGGAAAGGAATTGATGAAGACGAGATCTGTCTGATGGTGTACATCGTTTTATTGTGACCTCTTTCAGAGCGTTATAACGATTAATCGGGTCAGCTGTCATAATGCGTCTGCCAACTTAGACAGTGAGGTCTAGAGGTAGACGAGATAATGAGTTGATGAACTTATCTTAATCAAGTGTGACACAATTGTTAGCAAACTCAGCTTCTAAGATCGTGAACCGTAAAGCAATGTCTATCTCCATAAACGGAGGAACTACCAGTGACTGAAGGAACGGTCTACTCGTCCTCACTATACTTAGAGAATGAGTCCATGTTTCAGAAAATAATAAACATTTAGGGAAACTGGATGAAAATTGTCACGAAATGGACCATAAAAATGGCTTTATGTACTCGCGTCCTCAATGACTCGAATCGCCTTCCGGAGTCCATCATTGATGCGAAGACCGAGGAACGTTTCAATTAGTTGTTGGATCCTCTTTAGTTTACTGGGATCCATCTGTTTCCGATGCAGCTTCAATGTTTTTCTGTGCGACCTTGTTCCGCGATGACCCAGGCTATCTCCGCAACGATCGGGGAGTGACGGCACTGACAAAAGATCTTCCTTCTGTTCTCTATCATCCAATGTTCAATGACTCACCAAATTAGGCGGATATAATTCCAATTTGGATCTCCAGTGTAGTGGGGAATGATTCGGAGCGGCGTCACCAATGCAGTGAAGAAATTGATTATTGCCGGGCGATGACTCTTGTTTGGGTCACCAAGGTAGAGACGAAATTGATCTTAGTCGGGGCAACAATTCCAGTCAGAGTGACCAATGTAGCGAGAGTGGCCGGATCACGCTAACAGACTATTGACGAGTACCGTTCCCAGTGATGGAAAAGGAGGAATGGAAGTGACGGGTCGAAATTGTACTGTGGTACACGCTGTTCCCGTGTAGTAGTTAAAAATATGACACCGAACGACGCAGCTAGCTAGGGAAGGATGTAAGGGACCGCGCGATGGAGCGGCATGTTGAATTCATCCGTGACGAGGTGTGTCTATCTCGCATGTGTGTTATAAAATATAAATAAATAAATAAATAAATTGTATATTCCTCGACTATGCGAGAAGCTGTTCTCTATAAGGAACAGATCAAATAATGGTACAACTTTTCCATGACATTTCATCAATACATTTTCAGAGATAAACATGGATGCAGTTGCAAATTATGTTACACAGAGTAATCAGAGTCGTTCTGCTATTTTTACCTGCCACTGAATCAGGATTCTTTACAATCACATGATAGATATTTGGGCCGAGAGAAAAAAATGTAATGAAAGGGGCTGTTGTCCGAGATGTTATGTGTATGTGTTTCAGAAATTTATTCAGGCACCATGGATACCGTTTTCGAATGCGTTATCTAGGGACTGTGATGTCCCGAACATCTTAATCACGTTTTGGACGGTTAAATGCTTACTAATAGCAAACTTAAAATTGCAAAGCTTATAGCATGTTGTGTCAGACAAACAAACATACGTATCACTAAGCTACAAACAACCTTTAGGTGTACAATAAGGCAATTTTAGGTAGTATTTTACACAACATACTCAGACATTCCGGAGGAATCTCTAGACTGCTACAATCTTATCGATCGAGCACAAATCGGGCTGATGTTCAGCCACATACATCTGATCAAACTCCTCGTTCCTGCAAAGTCCCGCACGGCTCTAATGGGGGACATTAAGGCGTTGTTCCACAGTGAAGCCTGTTATTATCTTCGTGGATACTTGCTTTGGTGAGTCCAACTCTATGCGAACGACTCACTCTGGGTTTTATAATAAGAATAATGGGTATATTTCTCTTTAAAGGAAAAGCTGCATCCATATTTGGCGCAGATCAAATATGTACAGGTAGTACCCTGCTCTTGCATGAGCAAGATGGATTTGTGATGAATAAAAGCCATGGTATTTCTCCCTTCGTTGCGAGGTACGGTCTAACTGGATATTAGAATATTCCGTGTACGTCAAAATCGCAATAAGTAGATTTCATATTTTTCGAATTTTCCAAAGCAGTCTTCAAGCCTTTTGATGGACATGGATAATTGCTCGGTTAAATATTTCGGGAGGATTGTGAGGTTTTAAAAGATAACAAGTGTAGATACATAAAATGTATAAGTGAAGTAATATGACCATTACTGGGACCGTCTCCTAGGGACCTGCTTCTATGCGGGTTCTTCTCTCGCTTGATTTAATGCGCACTTCCATGCCCCATCTGGCCGTATGCCGGTGTGGCTTTTAAAGCAGGTAAGAAATCACTTATGCAATTCATTTTAGGGCTGTTTTTGGGGTATATAGTGTGGACAGTCAAGCCACCTAGCGCCTACCATCAGCTGGTTTTTGAAGTAAACCACTTTGTTATCTTCAGCGAACCAATGGCCATGCGCCTTGCATGGGTATTATTAGTATCAACTCAGGTTTAGGTTTGTTCTCCGAGCCGAACTATTTCTTTGCAGACGTTTCATCACCAATCGAGGTGATTTCGTCAGTGCGTACTAAGCAAAAAGTTACCGATGAGACAGTGTTGTTTGAACTTGGCCACTTCGTTTCAGGTCCCATGACCATTGCTATTTTGCAATTCAATCGCCACCTCTTTTAGACTCACGTGGTGTGTGACTCACCTGACGAAGTCACCTCGATTGGTGATGAAACGTCTGCAACTAAGTAGTTCTGCTTGGGGAACAAACTTAAACCTGAACAGACAACCCAAGCAACAGGGATTCCGCTTTATTGCTAATTATTATTAACGCTGAAAGCTTAGATCGACCCAGTCGATGTCAACAGTGAAGTAAAGGAAAATATAAAATAGGTGCACACGAGAGACCGGCCAAATTGTACAGAGAAGTGTCAAAAACGCTTGACAGCTCGAAGTATCGATATGCTAGACAGTTCTGAAAAGTTTTCAGATGCTCATTATTTGCTTGTGTTCGAAAGTACAGGAATTGATAGCGCTGAGCAATGAGACTTGATCTCTGATTCTAGACACGCCTCCGCGA